ATTTGCTTAATTACACTAGGACTTCAGAGTAATACTTCATATTTCTGGCTTCAGATACAAGAATGATAGATTCATACAAATAAGATGAACACACTCAGTAGGCCACAAGCTTTGCAATGATACCTTAGAAGAGACCTTTTGCATAAGGCATATTTCAGTTACATTATATTCACACTCATATGTTTATGGAAATATGCTTATGGAGTGCAAGCTCACACACCTCACCACTGGGGGACATCAGGCCCAGCCAAAAACTGCTATCCAGGCCCTAGTGAGAGTTGAACTCACGACCCCTCATTTACAAGACCAATGCTCTAACCCCTGAGCTACGGAGCCAGGCCCCATAGTGTCTTTCCTCACCGACCACGCCTACCTAAGTGATGCTGTGCCTGCCATGGTCATGCGCTCAAGGCAGCGGGCGCATTGACGACGTCCCAAAAAGTCCTTGTTCCGCTGGGCCAGCCTTTGGGCCCTGGCCAGAATGGCCCAGCGGTTAAGGCGTTTGACTTAAGTTCCAATAGACATGTGTCTGCGTGGGTTCAATCCCCACTTTTGGCAAGGTGCTGCTCTTCCCCACCTGGGACCTCTCCGGGGCTGTCTTTTAGTCCTTTGCTATAAGGGAAGCTCCCGCCAACTACTCACCACTGGACAAGGCGAACGAGTCTGAAAATCTGCCCCTGCAGCAATGCTCCAGCAAGATTTAAACTCACCAACCCTGGTTTAAGAGACCCTAAATCCTGAGCTACGGAGCTAGGCCCAAGTCCACCCACCTCGGTGAAACTGCACCTGCCAGGATGGTCTAGGGCATGGATGCCAGCCCAAACAGAGCTGGATCCTTGGAGACATCCCAACGTGTTTCTGTTTCCATGCGAGAGCCTTCGGGGAGCCCCGGGATGTCCGAGCAGTGAAGGGGTTGGGCTCGCGTTCCACTAGGCACGTGTCTGCCTGGCTCGGAATCTCACTGCGGCCAGCGTGCTGCTCTGTGAGCTCTAGCTGGGTGCCATTTCTCCTTTTGGCTCTCGTGCCCCGCAGAAGTGCAAGCTCTCTGTCAGAAGCCTGTGGCATGACCTAACGCATCAGATGGTGGCCGGAGAGTCTGGGCCGATGTGGAATCGCCCAGAGTCAGAGGGCCGGAGGACGTCCAAGGCTTTTCTCCTGGAGTGGAGAAGCTTCTCCTCGCTGCTGGCCAGGGTGGCTGAGCGATTACGGTCTTGACCTCTACAGCCGAGAGGCCTGTCCGTCTACCCATTTTAATCCTACTTCTGGCTGGCCTTTGCTGCTTCCTTTTGACTAGTTGGTGGAAACCTTCAAGGAGCTGCTGCTTCCCTTTAACCTGCCCGCCTCCCGCTTCTCCCTCCGCCCACCAAAACCCCACCATCAAGCAAAGCCACCATCACTCCTGGAGGACCCCATCTCACCCCAGAAGATGCTGATTTTACTCTTGGGAGAATTCTGCGCCACTGCGCAGGCGCAGAATTTAGGTTCCCTGCAGATTTCTTTACTTCCCCGCTGAAGAATGACTTAGTGACAGGGAAGCAAAGGGAAGCCAGAAGAGCGGTCATGCGACCCTCCCCAGCAGTATGTTTCGGGTGTCTAGGGCAGCCAGCAGAGAGGTGAATCACAGTGGGAGAGGGGGTGGGACTCGGGAAGACCCGGCTGGTGGATCCTACCCTGCGCTGGGCTCAGCTGCTAGTCCTGGCTGGACTGGGGAGGACGGAACTTCCAGTGGGCATGAGCTTATCTAAAGCCTTCGTAGAAGACCTGGCTCAGGGTTTTGTGCGTAGCAGAGCAGCAGCCTCGCTGCCACCTATGGAAAGTGGGCCCTTGACCCAAGACTCTCTCCCTTTCCCCAAGAGCTGTGCTCCGGGTGGCCCTTCAGCGGGATGCCCAAGGTACCCTCAGCGCAGGGTTGAGGTTGGGAGAACCGGGCCCATTGCGTCCAATGGGTTGACCTGGTGGCCCCAATGCTTTCCAGCCGGGCTGTCCCCCAAAGCAGACGCCAGTGGGAATGCTGCTCCCTGCCAAGAGAAGCCATGGCGGAAGGTTTAACAGTCGAGCTGCGGGAGACCCTGAGAGGCTCGATAGTTGTCCTCTGGAGGCTAACTTGCGGCCCTCGGAGCTGCAGGTCCCGGGACCCCACCCTCCCAACTAGTGGATCATAGGCAGTCCCCCAAGCCCGGAACGCTGCTATGAGCACAGGAGCAGGAGCACTCTTCCACAGGACCAGCGGCACTCTACGCCTTTGCTTTGGATTTGGAGATTTTTCCCAAATTCTGACCCAGGGGGTCCAGTTTCACCTCCCCTGGACTCCAAGCCGCCGGCCGGGCACTCCGCAGCTAGGCAAGCACACCCAGAGAGACAACTTCCTAAGCAAGCGTAGCATTTTCTGAACCCTGTTGAGATGCTGTTAGCTGGGTAGTTATCCAAAGCGAGAGCGCCGGAGCACGCCCAAGACTTCTTGGGAGTAGCGGTTGGGCCAGAGTTACCCGCTCACCAGAATGGCCGAGCAGTTAAGGCATTGGACTCAAGTTCTAATGGGCGTGAGCCTGCATGGGTTTGACTCCCACTTCTGGTAGGCCCCTGCTGCTGCTACCCTTGGACCGACTGGTACACAAATTCAGGCTGCTGCTTCTCTTTAACAAAGCCCTCTGGCGTCCTGCCCTCCTGTGCCCCTCCCCCAAATTAACAAGTACCTAAGAAAAGCCAAGCGCCTTGCGATGGGTTCGATCACAGAGACCCCCTGGGGACTGTCACCCCACAGGCTGAAAATACCTCTGAGCCCATTTCCCCTGCCAGCTTGGGACCCCAGAACCCTGTCTTTTTGAGCCAGACATGCTACTCAGCTGCAACACAGACCCAGGGTCTGACCCATGCCCCCAAAGCTGCAGACTTTAACCAAAACTGCTCATGTCCTGTGAGACTTCATTACTCATTGGCTGGCACCCACGTATACAGGAAGGCTTACAAGTAAAGAGAGCCATTTACAACCAAGTGTCCTGGTCAATGGGAGCCATCAAGATTCTAAACCACCATTAATGCTTTGCTTAACTACACTAGGACTTCAGAGTAATACTTCATATTTCTGGCTTCAGATACAAGAATGATAGATTCATACAAATAAGATGAACACACTCAGTAGATTATAAGCTTTGCAACGATACCTTAGAAGAGACCTTTTGCATAAGGCATATTTCAGTTACATTATATTCACACCCATAAGCATATTTCCATAAACATATGGAGTGCAAGCTCACACACCTCACCACTGGGGGACATCAGGCCCAGCCACAAACTGCTACCCAGGCCCCAGTAAGAGTTGAACTTATGACTCCTCGTTTATGAGGCCAATGCGCTAACCCCTGTGCTATGGAGCCAGTCCTCATCTTTTATGGCTGAGTGGTTAAGGTATTTGACTCAAATTCTAATGGGCGTGATGGGGTCCTCCAGGACTGATGGTGGTTTTACTTGATGGTGGGTTTTTGGTCTGGTTGGCAGAGGGAGTAAGTTAGCCTCCAGAGGCCGACTCTCGAGCCTCTCAGCGTCTCCCGCAGGTCGACTATTAAGCCTTCCGCCATGGCTTCTCTTGGCAGGGAGCAGCGTCCCCACTGGCGTCCGCTTTGGGGGACAGCCCAAACAAAGAAATATCCATTACAGTAAGTGTGCAAGTCCTAACAGATTTGTGGACAGGTTCACAAGCCATCTGTTATGTGTATGGTACTGCAAGAAGGTTCCTCATTTTTCTACTGGCTTTACACAGTGTGGGAAAATGGGAGGGATATAAATATTTATTCCTTTCTGACAGGTTGCTAGAGAAAAATAACTGCCCATGACTCTGCATTGAAGACTGAATATTTTCTACTAAATATTCTCTTCAGCCCTTCCTCATTCCTTGTACTCTTGTATCCTCACTGAAGTTCAACAGCAGTAAACTTCTTTGGAACCACTGCAGAAAGAGAAATATTCATTACAGCTTTAAAGCTGGATTCTGCACTGCATCCCAGCCACTTCCAGTAAAATCAGTGGGATTGCTCCGGCGATAAGTTATCACAACATTTGGCCACAGTACAGTTTGCTGAATATGAATATGTAGATTAAAGAGTATATATTCTGCACAAGCAACAACCTGCGTTTTCCAGACTCCTTTCTATCTAACCACATTAAGTATAGGTTGGAACACAGGAATGTCCCATTAAATACATGCCAAAAATGCTTATGCAAAATTATAAAGTGGTAGAGAAAACTGTTGGTCAAAGGAGATTGAAAGAAAGTATTTAAAACTAGGGCATAATACCTATCCTTCTCTTTGTGTGACAGAAATAGTTATTCCCCCCAAAATCTTTAAGATAGCGTAAGGTCTGTATATTACATTAATTAAAACTATACTATTAGAATGGTACAGTTATAACAAGAAACCAGAATTTGATAGTGATAAATTTCAAATTTAAGCTTAAAATATATTTGAAGGTCAGGAAATTAGAAGGCTGTAGTTCAAAAACCTTAAAAGCCAGAAAAACTGAAATTGCTCAGATAAGGTTCCAACATAAATCTTAACTCTACTTCATAAACCTCCCATGACCTCGTTTTACTGGCAGAAGCAGCTTTCTAGGTGGCACTCAAAAATGTAGTTGTTCCCTGTTGAGTATAAAAATTGCAACAATCTGGCACTTTGTTTCAATGATGATATAACCTTTCAGACTACACAAAGTACTAGGGGATACTCAGGCTTGTCTTACAAACATGCACTAGGTTATTATAGTTATTTATCTTTGTTGTGTATCTGGAGCGTGAATTCTCTAGACAATGCTGGGAAGGTGAATATGACAGAGCTGGGTATCCAGTGCATAGCTGCGTGGTAGACTGGATCTTGTGTGTATCGTCTGGGAAGGGTAACGTGAGACCTTGGGTTAATGTTACAGCCATGTTTAGCAGTTAGGGTTATTTTCTCAGCCAGGACAAGATGTTGCATAGTCACAACATTCTGTAGAAACTGGACTCTTGGCATAAATAACTACTCTCTTTAATAGGTAATGATTCTGCTTTCATAAACTGAGAAAAAGGCAATTTAGCTCCACCATTAGTTCTGGTTTGTGGCTACTGAAGTCAGCAGTTTCCAGAACTTTAATTTTCATGGGTTTTGTAGACACATTTTCATTATTTCACCCCTCACTCTCCAACTCCGACTATGACAACACACAAAAGAAAAACACATACTTTCCATGAAACTTGAAAAAGTTTAATTAAAAGTTTAGTAACAAGCATTTATCTGAGTTAAACAGAAAACAAGTAAACTAACATATAACAAGATAATCTCAGTGGGGTTTTTTTGAAGCCAGTTAAGAGGATATGTTAATAAATAAAATCTAAATTAGTTGGTTTCTCTGTACGTTTTAGAAATGCCAATTCTGTACTGTACTTTACTCTCACAGATCTTGGGAGACAGACCTGTCCTCGCTTACAGACAACCCCCCAACCTAAAGCAAATACTCACCAG